ATCAGTGTGTCCTTCTTAATTATTCTGCAGTTAATGAAGAATTGCTAATACTAATTAACACCCTAGCCGTTATTTGCAAGATTTCTGCAAATTAAAAAAGTCCTCAGCCATTGGGGCTGCTATACCTGGGATTTCAGCAGCCATTGAGCCAAGCTTCATAACCTGTTGTGGTTCGCTGGCAGCCTATGCAGACGGCAGCGGAATTGGACAGTGGGGAAGAACGGGGATCAGTCCAGGAGTCTGGGGAGGACTCGGATGAGGGTCCTGCATCCAATGCAGAGATGGGCCAGGACAATCTGGGAGTGGGGTGCTGACTCTGGAGCCTTCGGAGTCTGGCAGCAGCAAGGCAAAGGAGCAAGGGGAGCCTGTTCTCAGTGCACGTGTGCGCAGAGCTGCTAGAAGGCAACAGTGGGTGAAACAAAAGGGGAGACTCGGGAGTAAGGCTTGGAGGTGATTGCCCCTCCCCTAAGGTTTAAAGGAGGTGCAAAGGTAGAGAAACCTTTGCAGGAAGCAAAGTCATTCGCTCTGTTTGGATTAAACCTTGAAGCTCTGTGTGGACTTCATACTTCGGCTGTTTTTTTACAGTTAATTTGGCACGTTAGTTGTTGGCAGCAATTCAAAGGAGAGAAAAGTGGGTGCTTATCTCAAGGAGAACTGTTTGGCATTCATTACCAGCTGGGAATGCACATAATTCCCAGCGTTGAAATAAAACAAGAGTTATTTGGACTAAGCCTTGGTCAGAACATAACCTTCCTGCCACCATCCCAGTCACTTCCTTAGCTGCAGGCCTAGAAGTGAAGGATTGTCGCCTATCGCTTCAGAGAGCCGGCTGCCCACCTGTCAGAGAGGAGGATGGTGAACAGATCACAGAACTTCATTCATTCCCCAGGACTGAATAAGTCCAGCCTCCACCCAGACTTCAAAAGTTGGCCTTAAAATAGTGGTCACCATTGAGGTGTCCCACTCAGATTCTAATGATTCTTCAACCCCACCCCAAGCCGTGAAGCAAGGGGTTCCCTACAGCAGGACAATTTGTGTGTGTGTGTGTGTGTGTACACATATAGTGGCTTCCATCTTTTCCAATCCTCTCAAATACTTCCAGCAAAAGGAGGTGATAACAGAATAACAGAGTTTTTGGGGAGGACCTTCGAGATCTCTTTAGTCCAAGCCCCTGCACAAGCAGGGGGCCCCCTATTCCATTGCGTCCAAACTCTTCTTAAAAAACCCCAGTGATGGAGCAGCCACAACTTCTGGAGGCAAGGTGTTTCATTCATTAATTGTTCTCGCTGTCAGGAAATGGATCTCTCCTGGATTAGTTCCCACCCATCTCTTCTTGTCCTGCCTTCGGGGGCTTTGGAAAATAGCTTGACCCCCCACCCCACCCGCTTCTTCCATCACACTTGGCCAATAAAGAATTGAATTCTATTCTATTCTATATTCCATTCCATTCCATTCCATATTTTCTATTCTATATTCTATTCTATTCTATTCTATTCTATTCTATATTCCATTCCATATTTTCTATTCTATATTCTATTCTATATTCTATTCTATATTCTATTCTGTTCTGTTCTATTCTATTCTATTCTATATTCTATTCTATATTCTATTTTATTTTATTTTACTCTACTCTACTCTACCCTACCCTACCCTACTCTACTCTACTCTACTCTACTCTACTCTACTCTACTCTACTCTACTCTACTCTACTCCTTAGATTTGGAAGACTGCTATCATGTCACCCTGAGTCTTTCTTTTCACCAGACTAAACATACCCAGTACGCTATTTGTCTGAATCTCTACTGGATCCCAGGAGGCTTTTAAAAAAAAAGAAGAAGAAAGATTGGAGAACTTTTGATACACTTGGCTAAGTGCATGCCAGAGGAGAGAGCTCAAACTATATTTGTGGGTTCTTGGGTGCTGACACTTCCACCATCTACTGGGTTTTATATTGAAAATCACAAATGGTGTTGGTGTGGCATTCTGTTTTACACAGATTAAACACATCCTTTTAGTGAACCTCTGTGTGCTCAGTATCAATGGAAAGTTTTTTAAACTGCAGAATTTAGAAGATGGAAAGGCACCCCCAAAAAATCAAATGCACCTCCTTGCTGAAGTTCTGAATAACTGGTGCTTTGTCCACTGGGATCCCAAAACACAGAATTATCTCCTGAAACGTGGCAGTGTTTAACAGTACACAGGGAACAATTCTTGTGGGTTTTGCAAAACATTTGTTCTTCTTTTTGGGTCCCGACTTGGAGTTGTATAATAGCCGTTTTCACCATCTTTCAAATGTGATGTAAGACTTTAGTATTAGGCCAAGCCTTTAATGGCCAGGAGATAAGCAAGAGTTTATTTCAGCCTGTGTGTTTTGTCCTTGTTGATAGGACAGGTTATAAATCAAGGGTGTTAGCACTCAATATACAAGGGATATAAGTGAGCACAGCCCACCAATCTGGAAAGATAAGGTCAGCTTGCTAAATTCTGGGTGCTTATAGAAGTGAGCAGTGTACAGATTTTGTGTAAGTGTCAAATACTAGTTATCATCCACAATCACCCATAATGCCTGGGCCATGAAAACATGATTTGAAGCTTAAGATTAATTAGCTGTTCAAAAGAAGCAGCAAAAAGTCAAACTATTGAAAGCATGTTTGTTAAATCACTGTTTATTAAAAGGAATAAAAATCAACACTTTATTTTATTTGCTGATTAGTTTTGGTTTTTCATTTTGGGGGCTTGTTAGGCCTCCAAGCCACCTGCTTATTTTTATTCCTAATTTTCAACATTGTTTTCACCTTCCCGTAAGGGCTGGTATGTTCCAAAATGCTTTTTGTGTATGCTAAACCTTGGCTGCTTATAAACTGGGAACACACCCAAACGCCCATATGCATGCTTTTCAAATATTATTATAAATAATAAATAAATAAATAAATAAATGCTAATATATCTCAGTGTTGACGTGAAAGTACAATACTTTGCTACTGAATATTTTTCCAGTTTTTCAAATAGTGAGGTGGAGCCTAAAGGTTTTTTTTTTTAAATTTGTGTTTTGTTTTTTATTGAGCAAACAAAACTTCAAAGCAAAATGGGAAAATTAAGTGCCCAGACAGACACAAACATTAACAGTTGCATACAAATATGAATATGTATCTAAATATAATAAACAATTGGCATGTATGATTCTACCTGGAGTGAAGCATTGTTAGAATGGCAATGGAACAATATGAACAAATGTTGAGACTCTAGAAAGAGTGCAGAGAAGAGCAACAAAGATGATTAAGGGGACTGGAGGCTAAAACATATAAAGGCTGGTTGCTGAAATTGGGTATGTCTGGTTTGATGAAAAGAAGGACTAGGGGAGACATGATAGCAATGTTCCAACATCTCGGGCTGCCACAAAGAAGAGGGAGTCAAGCTATTCTCCAAAGCACATGAAGGCAGGTCAAGAAACAATGAATGGAAACTCGTCAAGGACAGAAGCAACTTAGAACAAGGAGACATTTCCTGATAGAGCAATCAACCAATGGAACAACTTGCCTTCAGAAATTGCGGGGGCTCCATCACTGGAGGCTTTCAAAAAGAGATTGGACAACCATTCATCTGAAATGGCTCCCCACCATCCAGTCAGAGCTGAATAAGCTTCTTGGATGGGAAGCGAAACATCTTCCCCCCCCCCCAAAAAAACCAAGAAAGTCCAGTTGCCTCTTGAAAAATGCACCTTTGGGACACTCATGTGAAACGGGACAGGGTCTCCAACTCTATTATTCTATGTTCTAAATGTGATCTTAATTGTAAAAATGCCCAGGCTTTTTGCTTTAAGTTTTGACACTTCACTCCTAGCACTGTGAATAGGGGTAGATTTGGGCATTCTTAAGGGTAGTTGGTCCAAGCAATCATCAGATAAATTGGCTTATTCCTTGTGTCAGGAAGGTATTTGGTTTCTTGATGACTAAAGTCATGGATGTGTGAAAAGTAGGCCATAGGTTGAAGGCCATGTGCCCCTTCCATGTGCAAATTAGGCGTGCCGACGCCACTGAGCATTCCCAGTAATTTGCTGCCCTGTTAAATGGCTACGAAGCAGTCCTTAACCTCCAAAGTCCTTGGATCCTGCCAAAATTGAGATTGAATTATTTATGGCAGAAGCAACTATCAATAGTAATTACAGCACATCCTTGCACAAATCCAGATTTTTATTTCAAGAATAAGGCCAGGCTGACAGGGCTCAGGGGTCAGACTCACTCAGACAAGAGGCCAAAAAGAAAAAAAGAAAAGAAAAGAAAGGCAAAATCCATATCTGAACACAGAATCTATATTGTCCACATTAATTCTTTTAGGTATTCCAATGGCTGCTTATTCCTTGTAGACCATGTTTGCCTCTTGTTAAAACGGTTGAAGAAACTGGATCAGCTGCAGCTTTTTAATACGATCATTTTTGCCTTCTTTAATCCAATAGGATGATTTGAAGCAGAAGTGCAACTTAATTCCCCATTTCCCTTATTTGTTTTGTGGGCCTAAACATGGAGTTTTAAAAAACGTCGTCTTTAATAAACGCATTTTTATTTTGAATGTGGATTAGCATGAGATGACATAAAACTTCAGAGTTTTCAAAGGCTCTTGCAAAAGACGTGTTCTCTTTAATGAAAGTCTTCACTCAGTTTTGAGTAATACAGTTTGTTAGCATGGTAGAATAAGTGGTCACGAACCTTTGAAAATCCTTTTCCCCCCCCTCATTTAGAGAAAGACCCGTTTGAGGTGCATTGATTGTGTACATAGAAGCCTGTAAGTTCATTTCTGTCCTTTGCAGCTGGTATAAATTCAATCAGCAAAGAACTAGTTATAAAATACAAGGGCTGTTTTAGTTCGTATTGTCTATTTATATATATTTATTTTAAGCTTGTTATGCATTAGCCATGTGAAATGTTTATTTTTTTAACCTTTCAGTTTTGTTTTTAGTCGATAGTATTTATCTATTGAAAAATTTCATTTCATTTCTTTTTCAGAAGAAAAACTGGAAGAATTAAATTTTTGATTCAGCTGACTGCCAAACTGCTCAGATTTCTCTGAAGAGTCCCGGCTTGAAAGCTTATCAAGAGCTGAACAATTTGCCAAACCTGACAGTGCAGAAAAGACTTTAATTACAAGCCATGATCAGTTCAAAAATTTCCTTCAGATTGCTGGGGTTCTACGCGTTCCTTTTTTTTCAAGGTAAAGTCGCACTTTTAAAACTTCAGGTTTTACAAAACGGTCTTGATGCCTGAAATGTTTATGTACAATAGAGACACTGTTGTGTTTGGGTTGCAGTTTGAAATACAGTGATAAGCTCCTGCAAGCTTCCAAACTTTTAATGTTCTTTTTTTAAAAAAAACTAAAAGCTACAAAATAATATAGGAATCTGGCATGAGAGCTAACACCTGCTAGCCTGTGTTTAAAAAATTTTTTTATATACGTATTTACATTGTTTAGTTGGAGATTTGAGATCAAATTAGTTTAATTGGCATATGCTTCTTAATTAGATATAAAATTAGTAATTTCGGTTGCCATAAATACAGGAAATGTGAAGTAGAATTTGTGAAAATGGGTGATGAACTAAATAAGAAAACAGCAGTAAGGATTTTTTTTGTTATTTAAAACAAAATTACAGCTAGACTTTCATTTCTTAACATTTGTGGAGAATTTTTAAGAAATAATATGTTGGTTGTCTTGCTTTTAAATACATATGCAAATAAAAAGTTACAGCCGTGCTCCCAATGAAGTCCTGGCAATGTACACTATGAAATTTAGAATAAAGCACAGAATACTTAACATCATAATATCTTAAAATGCCAGGACTACATTAGCATATGTGTCTCCCCATGATAAGATCTAACTTTTGAGCAGTTGTGAAGAGTCTGAGAAAGGAATAGAACAGAGGCTGGACCTTAAGCATTCAAGATCTAGCAGGGAAGGCTACTGACAAATTCACTTTATAAATAGCAGTTTTCAGTCCAGGTGCCCAGAAATCTGGGGTGGAAAAAATCTTAATGAAGTCCCTATAAGTGAGGGTTGAAACGTCCCACTGCACTTTCCAAGATTTTCTGTACAGTGAGTTCTCAACTTACAACAGTTCGTTGAGTGGCCATTCAAAATTACAGTGGCACCGAAAAAAGTGAGTTATGACCGTTTTTCACACTTACAACCATTGCAGCATTTCCCATGATCATGTGATCAAAGCATGGGATGCTGCTGCTCATTTGTCAATATTTAGGTATGCTTAAGTCTCCCATAGCTGTCTGGTAGTGGATTCATTGGAGCTGCGTGCTACTTAAACAAGCACTAACTTCACTTGACTTTTGATATCTTTACGATTTATATTGACTGTTTCCTAGTATGATTTGATTGCTTATTGTATGACTATTATTAAGTGTTGGACTTTATGATTCTTGACGAATGTATCTTTTCTTTTATGTACACTGAGAGTATTTGCACCAAGACAAATTCCTTGTGTAGCCAACCACACTTGGCCAATAAAGAATTCTATTCTATTCT